TGGCCCGCCCGGGGCTGTCCGTGGTGCTGAAGGCGAGCGCGGGCTGAGCGGACGCCCGGCCCCTGACGGAGCCCCTTTATGTTCAGCTCCCGGCGCAGCGCAGCATCCAGCAGCTCGAGCGGCGGCGGCGGCATCACTGAGCCCGGGCTGGGAGGCAGAATGGAAGTTTTTTACTTGGTGGCGGACCTCCTCACACTGGTGTGTCGGGCTCAGGAGAAAGCCGGCCAGCAGCTGGGGAGCTTCGTGGTGCTCTCAGGAGGAAACCACTCCAGCCTTGGGGAACAGCTAGACCCCTCCGAGCCTCCTCCTACCCCGGACTTCTGCAGGGGCTACTTTGACGTGATGGGGCAGTGGGATCCCCCTTTTAACTGCAGCTCGGGGGAGTTCATCTTCTGCTGCGGCACTTGTGGCTTCAGATTTTGCTGCAAGTTCAAGAAGACGAGGCTGGATCAAAGCACCTGCACAAACTATGAGACACCGTTGTGGATGAACACTGGGAAGCCTCCTTCCCGCATAGATGACCCTCTGCATGACCCTACCAGGGATAAAACCAACCTCATTGTCTACATCATCTGTGGGGTTGTGGCAGTCATGGTGCTGGTGGGGATCTTCACCAAACTAGGGCTGGAGAAGGCGCACAGACCCCAGCGGGAGCACATGTCCAGGTAAGGCTGAGTGCCAGGCAGCAGAGTCCCCTTATCCCCTATCTCCCTCCCTACCCATAAAGAGGAGAGAGGACCCCATGTGTTCCTGCTAAACTAACAGCTTCTGTCTGGCAGGCTGCATTCCCCTGCAAGGGCATCTGAGAGAGACCAACTTTGGTGAGCAGAGCTCCTGTGGTTCCCCAAGTCCAGGTTATCCAAGTATGTGCATACTGAGAAACTAGAAATAATTGTGGAGTCTGGACACACAGTAGCCCATTTTTATCTGCTGTGTCTGACCTTCTCCCCAACAAGATCCAGCAAGTGTTCCTGGATATACTGTGCACAAATAGGAAAACAAAAAAAACCCTGAAACCAGCAACACTGAATTATAGAAAACCTGATGGTTTCTCTCTTCCAACCGTTTCAAAGCTTGGAAAACATTTTTACTTCTCAACAGAAGGATGTAAACAAATGTCATCTCACCCTCCCTCTCCAGCTGCAAAATGGTTTTGGCAGGACCTCCCCTACACCCCCAACCCTTGCAAGTGTGTGAGCTATTTGTAAAATTTCTGAGCTGTGAAAATGAGCCAGGGTGGAAGGGAAGACGGAGACAGAAAAAGGAAAAGCTATTGTAGAATTTATTAAGTTTTTTTTCAGTTGCTGTTGAGAGGTAAAAATTAAAATATGAAAGTCTTGTCTCATCCATGTATGTGTGTGATATACTCAGTATCCACAGCATAATGGCTGAGTTATATCAAAGAGAACCTCCCCCACCTAGAGTTAGGCATGCTGTGTACCATCTACTCCAGATACTGGCTGCCTAGTGGTGGATAGGCAGGTGGGCAACTCAGGACAGAGCCCTATGGCTCTAAGAACATATTCCAAACCCAGATTGTCACTGTAGTTCAAAATCGAGGCATAACACATTTGTCAAGTTTGCAGTCTGTCTGATTCTTTATGCTAATCCCAGGCACATGAAAGTAAAGCAGATGGGAGAAAGGCATTAAAAAAAGCAAACAGCTCCATTAAAGATTCCAAATAGATTCCAGCATATTGGGCAGCCGTAGTGATGAAATGGAATTAAAAGGATACATCCTACTGGACATGCAGTGTGGCAGAAAGCTTCCTCTTGCCCTGACTGGTAACGGTGTAATTCACAATCCTTAAAGCTTAGATGAAGAATTATCCTTTGAAACAGAGTCCAAGAGATCAACTTGACACCTGGAGCCTTATTTTTTACTGAAGTTTCTGCATGACTTTTTGATTGATTTCTAAATCTGAAATGAGCAGAGAAAGCCACAAAAATACTCCCACAAATGCATCACCAGTTCACTATCAATTATTTGCTATTTATAAACTAGCTGATATGGATACGCTTTTACTACTGAGGAACAAAGCACATTGCAGAAATATTAGTCAACATTGTGTGTCAGTGATACTTTTGCAAAGATGTTTTTTTCTTGAGCAAGGTATAAAAATCCTTTAGACATTTTGAATATTCTCAAGGAGAAAAAGAATACATGGGTCCTAATTTCTTCTTTTGAATCCTACTCTTAAAGAGCTTGTTTGGAAAAAGCTCTCCCTTGCTTTAGCTCCTTTCTGTATTGTCTTCATGCAGGCAAAAAAGGAGAGCTTCTAACAGTTACAAAAACAAGGACAGAGTGAAATTGTGGCCATCCCTGCTTATATGTGGCTTAATTAGTTCCTGTTTCTACTAGTAGAAATATTTGCTATCTAAAGTACAGATGTGAAGTATTCTGAAAGGATATTCTGTCGGTTCATGGAAATAGAATTATAGGGGATTGGGAAATCATTCTACAATCCTTCAGTCATGTGTGCATAAAGATTAGGTTTCTGAAGTGGTTCTTAGAAAAGGTCGTCTGTTACTCTGATTACTTAACAGTGTCTGAGGTCTTGTACTTTTCTTACCATGAAAATGTTCAAGTCAGGATTATACAGAAACTTGGAAAGTCATGATCACATGGAAAAACAGTCACCCACTCAGTACACATAATAGCTAGTCATCTGAAAATGCAGTGCTATAGCTTTTTTTTTTAAGAAAAAGTTCTCACACTCCTGTTACAGCTGTGGGGTGGTCCTACTATTAATTTGAAAAGGAATTAGATTTGTAAATCCCTTTGGCAATCTAAAAATCTGCTCATTGAGTGAAGAATTGAAGTAACCTCTTTGTCCTCAAATGTGTGTTTAACTAAATTATTCTATCTGAGCTCGTTTTACACTACTAATGTTCCAGAAAAAAAAAGCCTGCAATGCTTAAGAAATAAATAATTTCTTTGTTTAAACAGTTAATAGTACCAACAGTTAAAATAATATGTAGCCCAAATTAATGTTAATCTACTTTTATAACACTCATCACTACAATATTAAAAAACAGCCAAAAAAGAACTTTTTTTTTTTTTTTTTTTCCCTGTGCTGAATCTTATCAATAAGCTAAAGTATAATGCATTGAAAGTGTTAGGTAGGCCAAACCAGAAGTACTAAGTGCTACTCCATTTTGGCTGGCAGCAAGAAACACAGAGGCTGATCTGTCACCTATTTCCTTAGCTAAGATTGTCTGCTCTCTGTTCCCTAGCCAATGGCTACACAAAACACACAAATCCTCCTCATTCCCATGCACGTGTTAACCTATGGAAGGGATGGTCCTGCTTAGCAAAAAAAGACAATGCATGATGTAAACTGATCTTTATTAATGCGGGCTGATTTTTGAAAAAGTGAACAGAATACAACTGGTGTAGGTGTAATATTCCCACTTTTGATTTACTAAAAATATTAAAAAATATGAACAGAGATCTAACACAGAGGAATAAGTTAATAACACATTGGCTTATAAATAGAAAGCAAAACTGTGCCACACATTAATTCCTTGCATCATTTCATCTGGCAGTCAGTGGATCTGTTGAAGTAAGACACTGGTGTGTCTAAGAGTGGCATAATGTTAACAAAAGAAACTCCACAGCTTTGGCGAGTGTAGTTTCTGTACGCTCACCTTTCATTACATTTTGTGTACTGCTGTACTAAAACAAACCAAGACCACTCCAATAATTTAATGGAATTTTCCTGAAACATTTCAGAGTGAAAAAGCATCAGGGAAATATATATATTTAGTGAAAAAAAAAAAACCACAGGAAAAAAATCGCTACTGAGCAAGTTCTTTTAGGAAAAAAGAGTCAAAATTTGTCCTTTTTTAGAAAGCTTCCTTTTGTCTTGAGAAAAAAGGCCAAGTGTGGCACTGTTGACATTTTCCTTCTTGTTAGATCAGTACTTTCAGTAAAACACTCTTACTGTTGGCATGCAACTGTAAATCTGGAAGATGAAAATGGAGAGGGGAGTACAGCATTAACTCTACATGGCATGTCTTGCTTTAGACATCATATAATAATGTTTTGTTTATATCATTCTCCTTGCTTTTAAATTTATTACCAGCCATTAAACGGAGATGAATATTCCCTTCAGCTACAGTGCCAAAGAACTAAGTAGTAACGGTAGTGTCTGACCAGACTCTTCTTTTACCCTCCTGCATTCTAAGAGAATAAGGGAATAAGATGGTGTATGTTATCAAATATGGCAAAGGGAATGAATGTGGCAGTTTTGTGCCTAAAAGGAAAGAACTGATCTGCCTCTTGGAGCAGACCTAGAAGCTCTATTAGGCATATGAGGGCAGCCTGTTTGTGCTGCGTAAGACTACATCAATGGGACTTGAGGCTCCATCAGTCAAAGTAGAGAATCATCTCTCTAAAATGAGTAGAAAAGAGAAAAACTTGACTTCTATTTAATGGAGGAGATTTTTCTGTAAATAAAACCAAACCTCTGTCTTCTTCCCTAATCCTTGTGGAGAATGTGAAAGGACAATATTTACAGTCACACTTCTCTGCTATAGATCCTGATTTTTTGCAGCACTGCTTCTGACAGTATGTTAGCAACCTTCCAAATATTGTGAACCATCTCAGCTCTTCTTTCTTCCTTCACAGTGTACTGAGCTCATGAGTTAAGTCTTTTGTTGATCATTCAAAAGGGCCAAAAATAGTCTGACTTGCTAAAATCCTGATACCTACAGGTGAAATTATTTCCCAATAAGGGAAAGCAATAACCTTTCCAAAATAGCCACAGAATCGTTCAAATTGGACCTTTAAGATCATCAAGTCCAACTATTACCCTAACTCTACCAAGTCCACTGCTAAACCATGTCCCTAAGCACCACGTCTACTTGACTTTTAAACACATCCAGTGATGGTGACTCCACCACTTCCCTTGCCAGCCTGTTTGCTTGATAACTCTTTCAGTAAAGAAGTTTTTAACCATATCCAACCTAAACCTCCCGTGGCACAGTTTGAGGCCATTTCCTCTTGTCCTGTCACTTGTTACTTGTGAGAAGATTACATATTGAGGGAGATAGATCTTAATGGCAAGAGAAATGCTGAAGGTTTGTGATACTTGGGCAGTTCTGTGCCATGAATTCCTATGTAGGTAACATTTCTCCACTTCTTAATACTGCAGTCAATATCAACACACAGGACCTAATGATATCGCTACCTGATTAGAAGGTTATCTTGTATTTTGCATTTCCTTAAAAAAATCATTCATTGTAGCTAAAGACATTCTACACATATATAATTTTTCCATGACACCCACTAACAATTCCTTCAGGCAATGAACAAAATTTATATGATGATATTCAGGTGAAACAAATGCATGAAGGTATTCTAACAGACTGTGAGCCTACGTGGAATTTGTCGAAGCAAATATCTGTTCAAGTGTGTTGTCACAAACTGGGGGACAAACCTCCCTTTATCCATTTCATTATATGGGCAAATCCCTAAAAAACCAAAATGCAGGTACAGCATTTCCTTTGTACTTCAGAGCTACAAGCTGCTACATATTTTTAACTCTCCCCAGTCTGAGTGGAAAATAAAGACAAATACTTTGTTATATGAGCTATTCTGCCCTAAGATTTTACAAATTTGGCTAACACAGTATAAACATAGGTGCTGTGTTGTTAAAAATAGAACTTGATAGTGAATAGCTCCTTTTTTTGTGATATAGTGGGAGCTGGGCAGCTGCTTCCCAAAAACTCCTTTGAAAATTGCCACCCTAAAATAGTAGAAAACTTAGTTGGCATTTTTACAGACAGACAGGCAGTACTTAATCTGCTATCATACGGGGTGCTATTTAAAGTCTACAGTGAACAATATTTACTATCAGATTAAGGGCAATGAGGAAAGCATTTCTGAAAACCTCCTCTTACAAAGTTGGGAAATACTAGTCTGTGTATTATGAGATCTCCCAGTTTTAACTCCCATACTGAAGTTAGGAACTTCCATTTGCTTTTCTTCCCTTCCCAGAAATCTGTCCAGCTACCTCTGGAATTAGAATGATTATTGATGTCAATAATTTCTTTTCTATAGAGACATATTTGTGTAAATTGACCAGATATTAATGGTTTTGGTCCCAGCATATTTTAAACTATGTTTTGCAATATAATGCTTTCCTTTTACATGATTTCTCTGTACCTTTGTGAGATCTCGTCTGGTGACTTTTTATGATTCTGCTATGTAGGGCAGCTCTGCTATTTCTGCTGTATAAGCATTGCTTCAAATGGGAGCATTGCTCTGATACCATTAATCATTTGGTTACTGTCTTTTGACCTTTTACAGTATCAACAGAGTACTCTGTAACATGTTGATCACAACTGTAACGAATATTTTAATAACATAATGCTACCCATAAACAAAAAAGAAACATCAGTACCTTTCATCTGTGTACCAAAGCAATGTTCTGAAAGCAAAGCTTTCTGAAAGCTCAGGATTCCTCTCTGTCTGTAACTTAAATGAAGCTGCCTTTTAATATTTAAAAGTACAGTGTTTCTTGATCAAGAAACCATCATGTCACAGAAGTACAGTGGGGGAGCTAGATGGTACTTGCCTTGGCTTTCACCAGTGACTGTGCTTATTTTTATTTATTTATTAGTTTATAAACTACTCTTTCTTAATGCAGTATCTGGGACACTGTATATAATTTTGCAGAAAATTAAACTAAACTGGGCACAGTGCCCAGAAAATGCATCAATTCCCTTAAAAAAAAAAGCTCAAGGGGTCTAAAAATTAGAACTAGTAAAACAAAAAGGAGGCAAATAATGGTCAGTGATGCATTGACCTGGATAGGAAAGAGTTGCACTGAACCCCGGAGACAGCTTTAACACACCCCACAGCTTTCCTTTGCCCAAGGCACCAGCTTCTGCAGGTGGGCCAATTATTCTGTATGGCACAGGAGTCCAGCAGGTGCACACACCTAAGGGCTAATCCTGCTCCTACAGATGTCAATAGTCAAACTCCATAGCCCAGAATCTGAGTTAGACGTTGCCATGCTGAGAGTTTCAGAGCTTAAAACTTAGCAACTCTGGATCCACAGGGCTGACAGAGGGGCGTGTGCTTATCTGTATGCCTAAGAAGAGGCTTAGGCTCACAGGACACTTGGCAGTGAAATTAGTCCTTAGAAAATATACCAGAGCATCATACCAGAGCAGGATGAATCTGTCTCTCTTTCAGATACAGCTACTGCCTGCAGACCTGCAGAAAAAATCCACAACCAGCATCAGGCTAGGCCTGGCCTAACTGTTTAGGAATCCTTTTGCTTGCTCTCTTGTTGCTAGCATAAAGCTTTCATCGTGTTTCTGAACTGGCTTCAAACCAGAAAGATGTGTTCCTCTGCAAGCTTTGTTCCATCTTAATGACTAGGACAGTCAGAGAAGTTAGGAAAGTCATATTTGATCTCCCCTTCTAGATGGGAAAAACTTAAATCCCTGATAAAAAATGCTACGCCTACTGGATTTCTGCATGACAACCATGTGACCACTGAGTTGTGTGGTGCTCTGCATGTGTGAGAATTTACTTTGACAGGCCTTGCTAGTAATCTAGGTGTGAAGGTAGGTTTGTGATGGCTACAGGCAGGGATTAGAGGCTCAGTTTAACCAAGACAGCAATGTTACTGAGCACGAGCAATGACAGAACTCTGCAACTCTCACCAAGCTCAAATTATGTTCCTACAAAGCCAAGACAGCTAAGGAACTTAGTGTGTTTCTGTGTATTACTGCTAACACATTGTCTCAGACAACCTAAAAAGAGCCTTAGGTGCAAAGTCTCACAATGAATCTGGTTCCTTGATTTTGCTGTGAATGGAGCTGGTTTCTCCAACAGACATTATGACAGACTGTATCTCAGCCTTAAAAAACCTTGGAATATACTGGTAATGTCTTAAAGCTTTTGCAGTTTCATTCTCATTTGGTTTGGTTTTCAGGGCTCTTGCTGATGTTATGCGACCTCAAGGTCCTTGTACAACAGATCATATGGAAAGAGATCTAAACATTGTAGTACATGTGCAACATTATGAAAACATGGAGACGAGACCTCCGCCAAATAATTTACGTAAGTCACTCTAACTTTATCACAGTCTGGAATGCCGGCGCTCAAATGAGCATCGTGAAACAAATATTGCTGGGTGGCAGATGAGGATCAACAGTACAGTGCTCCTTGCAAATTAGAAATATTCTTTAGTTCAGGATGAGAATTATTTAGAATTTCCTAGTGCAGCACTAAGAGAAAGCAATTTTGAATAGAAAAATCAGTTATGATATTTATTTTCAATGAGTTGCCTTGGTTGACTAATGCTGGTTTTGTATCGGTCTCCTTCTACCTGCTGTGTTTGCTCAGTTTATCAAGCTATGTCTTATTCTATGTTTTGTTATACCAAAATGCAAATAGTAAAGCTTATAGCAAGATTTAACAAGATATTTCATAGGGCTGTAACATCCAACAAGAAAGTGGTCTCATTAGGCTCTTTTATAATCTCCACTAGTAAAAGAGTTCAATAATTTCCCAGGGCCCATCAAGTTGTATGAGGTTTTCACTTTATCATTCTTTTTTCATAAGGGAAAGGTGAGAGAAAGATTATTATTTTAAGACTTAATTTTATTTTTTCCCTGTATTTGCTACTACATGTTTATTTTATTGAAGGTATGGAAAAAGTGCATCTTGGAGCTTCAGAGGAAATAGGGTGACATTTCAAGTGGTTCTGAAGTCTTAGGCAACTTATTTCTCAGTCCTGTATTAGAACACAGATTAGACCACATTAGTACAGATCTTTCTCATGCTCAGACACAGTTTCCTTGTGTGAGGATGAGTTCTACTGCAATTTTAAGTTGGACATAAATTTATGTATTCTATATTATCTATATATTAAATAATTAAAATGTACATATAAAATATATACATGCATACAAATTATAGCTCATATATTTACAAATTCATGTTCAGTATATTTATAAAAGAAAAGGGTATAATTCAGGAAGGTTTAGGTTGTTAGGCAGTGGACTGCTTTATTCTGTGCTGTAGATCAATGTCGATGTGCATTTTACTGCAAATATACTTTTACTGCATTGGTGCTTGGATTTTGAAACATTTAAAGTATATGCTCTGATCTTCTCCTTATGTTTCTGTAACTATAGCAGTCAGAAAATTTCCATATAGTTGGACAAATGATGAGTTTTATTTGGACTGCACTGTGCAGTTATTATGAGATTTTACTGCTTTCTTTCAGGAGAAGGGTGTAAAAGCAATGGGAGAAAGAGCAGATTCATGTTCTGCATGCACTCCAGTTACTTGTTTTGTGGTTGAGGCTGCCTGTGATTTCTTATGCGTATCACTACAGAGTAATAGGAGAGAATTAAAGCTGTGACCTCTAATAAAGATACCACATATAGTGAAGTATGACACCTAATCTGTCTGTGCTGCTCTCCAGCAAAGTACTTCCACCTGGGCCTGTGCAGTCCTACACTGCAGAGAGGGAAGTGCATGCATACTGCAGCATTACATCCCTAATTGGATGAAAATGCACCACTGCTGGAGGGGAACTTGCACTTCTCTCTCAATCAAAGGTGCTCTAGCCCCCAGAGCTGGGGTGGTGAACTTCTGAAGGTTTAAGGAGGATGAAGGGACCTCCAAAGGTCTTCTAGTCCAACCCCCCCACCATAAGCAGGGACATCTCCAACTAGATCAAGCTACTCAGAGCTTCATCCAGCCTGATCTTGAATGTGCCCAGGGATGGGGCCTCCACCACCTGTCTGGGCAACCTATCCCAGTGGTGTATCACCCTCATACTGAAGAACTTTTTCCTAACATCTAATGTAAATCTCCTATTTTCTAGCTTAAAGCCATTACCCCTTTTCCTGTCACTACAGACCCTTGTGAATAGTCCCTCCCCTGCTTTCTTGTAGGCCCCTCTCAGGTACTGGAAGGTTGTTATAAGGTCACCCTGGAGCCTCCTCTTCTCTCTTTGCTTTGTATATTAGCTCTTTGTTCATCTCTGATCCTTCCTGTGACCATGCTTTCAACAAAAAAGATGCCAAATGTTGATGAAGTTAGGGTAGAATCCTTATTTTCTCTCATATGTAAAATGTTTATTCAGAACCCCTATTAATGAAGGAGTCAGAAAGTAGTGAGATTCTTACTAGATTTTTGTAATCATCACACTGAGATATTTTGCTTAAAACTGTTTGTATATCACAATATACAATATAACACAGCAGGTCTTTAAAATCATTGTTTCTTGGACCTGAATTTAGATTTAAGCCTTGCTTCTATAAACCCTTGCATATATACATCAAAGCACTTCTGTACCTTGGAGCTACCTGAATTAATTGGGCAATGAATAGGGGCTGTCCCAAAGCTGGATCACATGCAGCTG